TGACTTATTTGTAAAAGATTTCTGAAAAAATCACTAGTTTTTAACGCTAATTCGAATATTCACTTGTTTTAGTCTAAGATTAAACTTTCTTAGTAATACTACTAATTACAGTAACAATGTATTGATAATGGTAATGATTATCATTGTTATTTATTATTATTATCATCATTTTTTATTTCATAAAGAATACTGAGAATGATGATAAAAATAATGATCATAACAATGACAATGAAATTGTGATTATGATTATGATTATCATTTTATAACCATAATCATATTAATGATGGTGATGATGATGATGATGATGAGAATCATAATGACATTGATGATTGTCATCACCATTATCATCATTATCACTATCATCACTATCATTATAATGATTCTGATAATCGTTAAACTATAATGATAATAAATATTCATTGTCATTTTATTAACATTGTTTTCATTTTACATCACTGTTATCGCCATTATTACTACTGTTATTAGTATAACCATCATCATCATTATGAAAATGAAAATGACAAGAGCAGTGATGATAAACGATGATGATAAAAATAACGCACGCCACAGTAAACTGAAGATCAGTAGCAAACGATCAGTACTTTTTCAGTTTTGACCATCATCAACTGAATACTCGTTCAGACCTTAGACACAAAAGTGTGCATGCCAATATTTCAAAACCATAGAGCCCGTAGAGTGTGCAACATTGATGGCAGAGTGTTTCCACAAGTAAGGCCTAAATGTATATTTCAGGTTTGAGTCTCATATGTTGGCCTGTGGAATTCAGTCCACAATGCACAAGGAATATCTGCAGTTGTGAGATCACTGCACGATCGTCAACATCAACCCTCATCATCTGGCGATATAGTAGATACTTGTTACATGCAAAAGGGAAGGGGTATATTCCGGCATAGATTGTATATTCTAACCTAGACCACTTTATACCCGGGGGTATAAACTAGATTAACTTACACCCTTGATGTAACAGCCTAGCCTGAAATAGCCCCGGGTATATGCTGGGCGTGGGTATAGTCTAGATGTGGCTCATGGAACAACGCAGACACGCAGACTCACACTCAAGCCCACACACGGGCATATACGCATGAACTGACACGTGGGCGAACTCATGCATAAAGTTCACATTGTGGAGGCCGCCACAGATCATTCCACACAAAGAGTTATCTGTGACTGTTTTGTCAACCTTAACGTTTTCGCGGTGGTTACTGAGTGAGAGGGAGGAAACATGCGAGCGGCCACGTGTTCATATCTGACTGCGCAGTTGTTAAAAGGAAAGAGAGAGAGGAGAGAGAGAGACGCACGTATACACAGTCGCGCTTATCGTCCCATTCTACGCCCGCAGTCTCTCCACACACACGTGCGCACTATAAAGGTAATCAGTCGTGCGCACCGGAAATGGGCGGGCCGAGTTGGCGTGCACTGCCGTGCGGTATGCGACGCCGCCCGCGCACATACCTGCTCTGCTTATGGTGCCAACTCTTTCTACGCACAAACTTAGCCACGCTGTTCCAGTTTCGTTCCAAGGCGCCAGGAACCATCTGCTTAACACTTAGCGCGTTGCCAGAACTTAATAAGAGAATTTCGCGCACCAAGTTCTATGTACCGCAAGAGTAACGAAGGTGACACGGCAGAAGGGGCCGTCCAAGTACTAGGCTGCCGTTTCTAATCATTCTGTGATTCCAGTTAAAAACCCTCTCGGCTGGATTTAAGTTCCGGATGATGCTGACTGCACTGTGACACCATAATTAATGATTTCACAAAGTCATAAAACGAAGGCATTAAACGATATTATTTTAGAAGCATAGGTGTCAGAGAAACAAGTAATCATTTTTTCTACGGACCTAGTTAGAAACGCGCCATCCCCATGACGAAGAGGTTATTAATGACACTCAAAAGGCAAATTTGCTGAAGCCTTTCTGGCCTTTCCAATGTTCCTTTCACTCGCTCTCGTGTAGCCGGTGAAAGTGTGGAGATGTGTCACTCGTTTACTTCGCCCTGTGTGGTTGTGTACGAGTAAGTGCCTCGCCGTATGCGTGCCGTTAATGATTATATATTACTTTGGGTCAGAAACGCATTTCGTCTCTCAAGCCAACGCCCAGCCAGCCAGCTTAGTGTTGAACCTCAGCAAAGCATAAACAAACGTAAAGCCCCCTTACAAACACTCATACGTGTATCTTGCACACATATACTATGAAAAAAACACATCCATAAACACATACACATGCACACACAAACACACATACACATGCACATACACAAACACAAACCCACACATACAACTACATACACACATATGCACACATAAACACACACACACATATATATACACACACACACACACACACACACACACACACACACACACACACACACACACACACACACACACACACACACACACACAAGCACACCACACACACACACACACAACACACACCCACACACACAACACACACACACACACACACACACATATATATAT